TTCTTCTCTCAATCCATTTCATCTTTCTTGGTAGCACGCATCTATCTCATCCTCTCACTAGTCTATTTATAGTACGGGGGAACACCAACCAACCCGGATCTCTCCCCAGGCCACGGGGTAGGTTTGCAGCACAGCTGTGGTGCGAGAGCAAGGCTGTACCAGTCCCTCATCACGGTGACGAGGGGTGGGCAGGCATTGCCGATGCGGGAAATCAGGGCTAGCGCCCAGCAATGGCCAGTCACTGCACCTTCCCCTACCCCCCGGGAACCCCACATGGCTGTGTCGAATGGCCAATATTGTCGCTGTAATGCGTGTCATCCTCTTCGTTTTACCTGTTGTCCGGAAGGACAGGAAAACGATTTTTGCGCTCCTCCGGCTTCCGTGCTCCCGCTTTAGCCTGTGCTCCACATGGTGCACGAACCGAATATGGAAACGACTGCATCTTTCTAAGAATATGGCCACGTTCATCATTTTGCTATAAATAGTAACGAGTGTATTTTTTGCCACCTTTCCATGGACCATGCAGTCGTTTCGTTTTCGTTTCGTCTGCCGTCTGGCCACTTCCAGCCTCGTGCTTGCTCTTCAATTGAATGGCAATCAGCATCTAGAATTTAAACCAATTGGCGTCCGAAACAGGGAGGACCTGGTGCAGATCCGCTGGGCCTGAGTGAGGAGTATAAATAGACAGTCCACTAATTAAAACCAAAGGGGGTGTTGACGAGTTTGCCTAGGCCCAGGGTAAACAGATTTGCAGCACCGAGAGGACCCTTTAAGTTAGCTCAAGTTGTACACCCACCAACTGTTGAAATGAAATGGGGATTCAAGCTCGAACCCACATTCAATCAAATGCCCAGAATAACATAATTGAGATTTTTGAATTACCTGGGACCGGTCAGCTTCAATGGCGATATCTCAAGGACGTCACCATTCCCAAAGAAAAAAAAAGGAAAAAAGAAAAAAAAAGGACATTTAATTTAGTGGTGGTATCAGCAGCCTAGATGGAGTGGTGTACAACCATTCCCACAAAGTTTCTGCATTCCAAAATTTTTTAGGGCCTCGCTCTACACCACTTGAGAACTACTTGAGTTTCTTCAAGGGTGCCCTAAATGAGAGATTTTGAAATTAATTTACACTAAGGTAACTCCATTTATGGTTGCACGTGCACGTGGGGAAAACGACCATTTCGTCAAAATGGACATTTTTTATTTTTTGAACGAAATTGCAACCGAGTTTTTTGGCCGAAAACTCGTCAAAATTTGCTGTTCCTGAGGGTCCAGCGGTTTACAAACGCCTGACCCTCAGGAACAGCAAATTTTGACGAGTTTTCAACTCGGTTTCAATTTCGTTCAAAAAATAAAAGCTGTCCATTTTGACGAAATGGCAGTTGGAAACCCTTGAGCAAGCTGCACTTGAAACCGAAACCCACGACTTGCTGACCAATCCTGGACCAGAACGCCTGCTGGAAAAAAAAGAAAAACAAAAAAAAGGAAAGCCCCACTCAAAGTGCTCTGCCATATCTGTTCGCACTTGAACTCTAGGTTCCTAAGAGCAATTTTGCCCCAGCTGCACTTGAGTTTCAAAAATGTGCACTTGACAGCAGGAAAGTGAAAACATTACTGCTGTTTCATTATGGAGGGGTGGAACCAAGAATTTCCCTTCAACCCTTGAGTTCAAGCGGTGTCGAAGGAGGCCCTTAAGCACCTACACGGCCACAATCACTCACGCACATTTGCAGGCATCCATCCATGCATATGCACACACACACACACACACAGACACGCACACACAGGCGTGTGAATGACCATACGGGTTTCACCTGGCCACCAACCAGGATCATCAGTGTACGACGGACTACGTTCTATTCGGGCAAGAAGGTAAGTTTAATACCATGGAAGCCCGCGGAACCAAAAAGGAGGGAACGGGATACCAATGTCCTAGAGAGTAACGAGGTCCAGACCAACGCTTCAAAAGGTAACGAGCTCAAGCCCACCGATAACCCAAAGTTCCTCCCACGGCCTGAAAGTCCTAACAAATACCCAAAAAAAAAAACACGGAGTGGAAGGTACGAAGATAGAAACCGAGAACAATTCAATCCTTAAGCCAGAACTTGTCTCCGTATAAGCATGACCAGTGAGCTTGGCTTATCCCTGTGGGCCACGGCTATTGATGTGAGGGACGCTGGGCACAGTTCCCAGCTTGCAGTAAAAAAAAAAACAATCTTCTTAAAAAAAAAAAAAAAAAAAAAAAACACTAACCTTCTTTTTGAAAAAAAAAAACAAAAACAAAACACAAAAAAAACAACAACAATTCGCTGCAGGCTCTTTTTTTTGTTTCACAAACAAGAAAGGGCTAATTCTTTTTTTTTCTTTTTTCTAGCAACAAACGACTTTTTTTTTTAAGCCGGGAACCGGGCCTGGTGTCCCTTACAAAATTAGGTGGGGCCCTCAGCGGGCAAGGCATCACCAGCCAAGCACATCGAGGGCACCACTAGATTTCACCCCACAGCCAGCTTCACAACCTACTCCACAGCCCCTACCACTGAAAAATCAACAAAAATTATCAGCAAAATCTAAGTTCATCACCAACAAACTCTAATCACAACAGTCGTGACAACCCTTATTTGGTGACCTGAATTCCACCAACCATGAAGAAACCATGTGCAACAAGAAATTACCAAAGAAAAAGGAATCCAAACCACAAAAAGGAAACCAGAGGTCAGGCATAGACCCCCATGACAATTTGATTATAAGGGACGCTGGACCCGTTTTCCAGCAGGTGCAGCTCCCCACGAATAGACCGCAGCCTTTTGGGGGGGGAGGGGAAAAAAAAAAAAAAAAAAAAAAAACGTGCCAATCCGCGCTGCCACCCGCGCGGCAGGGGTATGTGCCCCCAGGCCCCAAACTGCTGACGGAGACCCCGTAATAACCACCCACCTCTAAGCGATTCAAAGCGGATAGCACCTCCCCACACTCTTCATTACAAAAACACCAACTTCCACCATGATGCTGGTTTTACTAACCAGGGGATTATCCCACCTCCCGTCCAGCAGGGGCCAAAGAGCCCTGCAAAACCCACACACCTCCTCGCTATTTAGGGTAAGCCTCTCCCTTAATCTGCATACACCCCGTACGGATGCTTCCCTGCCCTCCATTACGAAGAGCCCTCAGTGGAGCAATGCTCACCATTCTGCCTCAAGAGTTCAGATGACAGCAGGACACCAGCCTATTAACATGAAATGAATACCTGACCCAAATTCAACGTCTCAACGGTAATACCCCACCTCCCGCGCGACAGGGGTCAAAGACCCCGCAAACCCAACCACCTCCTTGCGATTTTTTTTATTATTTTTTTTTTTTTTGTCCTTGCGGCTTAGGAAAAACCACTCCCACTAATCTGCACCTTCTCACAAGGAAACCCAACCACCAACCATAATGGCGTTTTTACAGTGCGGCACTCTCTCTTTCATTCCATCGCATGCATATATATATATAGATCTGGTCATTTGCCACCAGTGCCGTACCCCCTTTCACCGTTCACAGGGTTCCTGAACGAAGGCCCGTCACCGGTCACGATTTTCGTGACCGGCTGAAGTTTGGAGTTCACGGTGAGCGGGAAGTTTTTTTTTTTTTTTTTTTTTTTTCGCTGGGGGGTTGTTGTTTTTTGCGCAGGTGTGTTGATAGTGTCCATGGGC